CATGGCAATGGGGTTGGAACTAGATGATCTTTAAGGTCCCTTCCAACCCAAACCATTCTGTGATTCTAAATCTCACTCTCTCACCTTATGAAGATTTTGGGAACCATTTTATTAGTTTTATTAATGTGATACCAATCTCAGTTTGCTTATCTTATATTTTGTCTTAATGTGAATAATCAGAGAGATTATTAGGTGGAGCAAGCAGGAAATGAAGCAATGGCCTTAGAACACTTCTAGGAACATAAATTCAAGAAAGCTACGAAATTGTTTAGTGGTAGATGACATTTTACAGGCACAAGGATACTTGCAGGCCAAGTTTCTCAGCAGATATAAAAAAATCCCACCTTTTACAGTCCAGAGGAAGATTAGTTATGAAGGTGATTAGTTATGAGGCTGTTCTCCGAGAACACAAGAGAGACTGAAACAGAAGCCTTGTGGCAGAGACCTATGTCAAGCTTTGAAGGCAACTGATACGCTTTTCTTTAGACCCAAGTATGAAGCTTTTGTTAATCACTTGCTTGCTGTAAACTCAGATTAGTAACACCAGGTTTCGTTTTGATCAACTTCTTTTGCATCACTCCAATCTGCTGCGAGCCCCGGGCTTCCAGAGGAAATTTCTTGAGGACACTGAATGCAGCTGGACCTGCAGTGAGGGCAGGGAAAGCAGGCAGCAAGCAGCAGCCCCCAGAGGCGGCCTGTCACGGTGTGAACGGCACTCATCCACCCTTGAAAAGCACCTGGTGGGAGCGTGGTTGGGGGAGATGTGGAAGTGCCTAAGGCTCAGACCCCATGTTGACTCTGACACTTTGCAGATCACAAATCTTGCCTACATTTTTACAGAGTTTCTAACTGCCAGTAATGCTGAATCCTTATAATTTCACTTTTTGAGACAGTAAGTGCCTTACTGATTTCCTGAACAAAGGTGCTCCCTTCCAGTTGCCCAGGAGACAGAGTTGTACATCAATACTGTGAAAGAAACAGATGGTAAAGTGCTGTGGGCTAGAACAGACTCATGAAATGTAAGGAGGCTTATTTTGTTACAGAATAAGGGAGTTGGTTTTTTTTTTAATCACGTGCTTTGGTACCAACATCCAAGCAAGATTTTTTTCTATGGAAATTCAGTAGCTCCTCAGGGAGTATGTATGTGCTGGTGATATGAAGATGTGTGGTTGTGTTTTGCTGAGGCTGCGTCTTCAGTGAAAGTGCAAAGGAACTTTGAATGAATGCTGTAAATCAGCATACAGCAAGTGTCTTGACTTCAGTGGAACTAAGCAAATGTTCGGCTACTGAGTGTCCGGTCCGTTGAACAAGGACTGCTGTGTCATTTGCTGTTGTAGCAGAAATGAAAGGTCAAAGTTCTTAGTAAAATCTTCAAAGTTACCCTAATGACTTAATAGTCCATATTCAATATTCAGTCATTTGGACTTCCAAGAAAGTACTGGAGTGACTGTTCAAAAATTACTTTCCTAAATTACTGCAAAATTTCTATCTTGTTGTGTTAGTTGATAGTGATGTTGCAATACTGTAGGAACAGATGTGCTGGTAAAATGTGTTTTGCCTGTATCTTCTGAAGTGTTTTGAACAGAAGTGCCTCAGTTGTTCATTTTGTGCTGAAGTGGACTGCAAAACTAGCGTACTTGTTGATACTTGTTAAAAGCATCCTCTTGAAGAAGTACTGCTGTGGGCATTTATCTATTTAACAACTGATTTAAGTCACAAGTACAAACTGTTTTTTATAGGGCTACACATAAGATGATAAAACATGAGCGTGGTTTTAATCTGTAAGAGCGTATTTTACCTGCAGATCAATTAAAATATGATCAATAAAAAGTCATATATGTGCATACCTAACAAGTACATTATGAGATGGTAATTCAGTTCATGTAACTCGGCTGGTTAATCTCCTACTGCCCACTCCAGAAAGGTAATTTGTGTACCATCTTTAAACTAAAAAAACCCAAAACTAAACCACAAAAAACCCCAACCCACCAACCACACAAACAAAAAAGAAACCCAGAAAGTATTTTGGAAAATCAAAATAATCAAATAGAAGCAGGGAGATATGGTATTATTGGATAAGATACTAAAATATTTATAATAATTAAGTAATAGCCATATTACTGGATGAGCAAAGTAACATCCTGAGAGAGCCTAGTTAGAAGGACTAACTGCCACCATACCACAATCTGCTTCAGTTTAAGCTTATTTTTCCATGCCACTTAAGAGCTGAAAGGTGTCTTTCCCAATACTAGGCAAGAATACAAGATTTCACACCTCTTTTTCTAAACTGGTCCACAATGAAAAATGAAGTGATACTAGCAGGTAGGGTGAGCAACAACCTGCTAATTATCTCTATTAAGCATAATTGCATTTGATTGTTCTATTTCTGTACAGTTTTGCCAACAAACAGAATTGGGTAATTCCCCCAGCCAGAGCCATCATTTTGCTTCTGCCCAGAAAGATGCTCAGACTGAACCACTGCTGATTTGACATCAAAAAAAGCTGGTGGAGTTGCACTATGAATTGGGCTTGCTTTATCCAGGAAGATGAAATGATTACCTTCAGGCCACTCTGTGAAAGGCTGAGGAGACTGAGCTAATAAAAACAGCTCAGCCCTGAGGGTTTGCAGGTACACCACTTTTTTTGTGCACAAGCAATCTGAGCTATAGTGTGGACTTCTCAGAATTACAGCCAAGCCTCCTCATTTGTTTTCAGTGACTGATGTGTATCTTAAAGAAAAGAAAAAAATGCAAACCCCCTTGATTTTCTCCTACCATGTTTTCTGTGGTGACAATGTGCTGAAAAAAATGGAATTAACAAATCACTTCCTATTAGTAAAAAATGCAAATAACTGACAATTTCCCTCTCATTTTTCTAGTAGTAATTTTAGGTAAGAGGCAAATGCTCATCTGTAGAGCCAATGTGTCCTAACAATCCCCTTTGAAGATCATCTTGATCTTACTGCCTTGCGATATCACTACCTCGATCTCTCTCCAAAAAAAGCATCTGGATAGATCTTATACGTATCTAAAATAGTTGCTGTTGGTCTGTCTAGAAAGTGCATTCTTAAATGTTTATTGTTCTTCTAAAGCATCATTTTTCCTTGCAGGAATGTTAATTATCTAACTTATGGATGGAGTCTGTTGGGGTGTGGCCTTGTTAGTTCTTCTGCAGTTCTTGCCGTTGACTTCACTCAGTAATAACCAACCATTTTGGAAACATGCTCTGCTAGGTCCTTTTATTTACCCTTCTCTTCTCCTGTAAGGCATGACTTGAACTATTCAACTTTTCTATTCAGGCTCTTAAAACCTAGACTCACCTCGGTTCAGCCAGCTCAGATTCCTGTTACCATTTCTGTGGGGTGAAAAGAACGAAACTTGATGAACTGGGTCAAACCTTTGATTAGTGTAAACCATTAATGGCAACTTCATTAACTTTTACGCAACTATGTCAGTTTACATTTGCTGCGGATCTGCCCCCAAAGTGTTCCAGCAGGGTAAAGAGAGGACATAGTCTTGCACAGAAAGATCTGTATTTGTTTTGATCTGTATTTAATCCCTGCATTGACTGATTTCAGCATTCGAAGTTGTTTTTTTACATTAAGCTCCCAAATCTCTCCTCAGTCCTGGTTTGTTCTGTTTCTCTGCTTTCTCTCCTATTTGCAATTAATATTTTATCAAGTTTTCACAAATAAGAATATGCACATATAAAACAAGCTACAACATCAACAATGAACAGATACCATCGACCTCTGGGAACAGAAAAGATTCCCAAATACACACAGAGCATAACTTCCAGCTCCCCTTTTATTACAGACACATGAATGGGTACAGTAAGATCACAGGGACATTAATTTGTTGCTTCTGTCCAGATCTTGTCTGTTGTGACTCTGATACCACTAGAGTTGTCAAAGCCTTACACCTACCTTTATCGGATAAGGCTGTTTAAAGCATGATGTTGCCATTTCATCTTTCTCGTGGTCCTCTCAAGAAAAAGGTCTGATTTTAGCAAAATAAATTCTATTTGTGATTAGCAAGCAGACAATCTCAACATAGTCCTGTGTTACCTTTCTGGGTTTTTATGTAACCTGTTATCTTCAAGAGGACACATTATCGATTCTGTCTGGCAAGCTCACCTTCCTTCCCCTTCTTTTTCTTTCTTCTAGTGAAACCTCCCACGTATCTGTTTGTAGTCAGAGTGGAAAGAATTTGTGTAATATAACAGTCTTATGCCTTCGGTCGTAAGTGTAATCACTGAGGCCTATGAGAGCACTCCTTTGCTACAAATCCAGAGCAGCCAGTGTCTGGTCCCTTTTTCCAGTCTCTTGTGTCTGTGTGTATTGACATACACAAAATAAAATGAGAACAAATTGCCTGAAACATGGCCATTCTGTTCTCTCTCCTGCCATGTATCTGTCACCAACTGCTAATAACTTTTTATTGTATATACTAGATTCTGGTTAGCTGCCTCAAATTGGTTTTTTAGCATTTTGTAGAAAACCTTCATTTATCTTTCTATCTGTCATATAAAAGATTGAGATCCTTCCT